AAAAATTTCATCAATATCGATTGTTATACTAATTATGTTTTGTTCACAGGTCGCTCTTGTCCCGGGGGATGCTTTTGGCGAAGACAGCTGCATCCGCATATCATATGCAGCATCCCTTTCGACTCTGAAGGATGCAGTAGACAGAATTAAGAAAGCTCTAACCTCAGTCAGGCCAGCAATTCCAGTTTGAAGTTGGGAAGGCCTTAAAATTTAAGGTTCCAAAATTGGTTCAAGAGACATGTTTTTTTATTGTAATTAGAACTTCACAACTAGACTTTCAGTTGGATATTTGATGTCTGCAAGAAGTTTTTCAATTCATTTTCGGATAGTTAATGAATAATCCAAAACCAAGCTATCACTTCAAAAATTTAATTTTTACTCGTCTTTTGGTTTCTACAATGGGTGCCCCATTTTCTTTGTTATGGTATTCCTTAACGTAAATCGAAAAATTTTCCTTCTTTTTCAACCACTCATTTTTTTTAGAAAAAAAGATATATTACACACATTTTCATTTCCAAAAAATGAGGGTCAGACGGGGGCAAAATTAATTTATTTTTCTACTTTATTTTAATTTTATTTTTTCAATTATGATTTAAATTCAAAAATATAAAATCGTGTCCATGCTTCCCGATTCCCTGGCTAATTGGGCAATTCTAGCTCCCAAATAGAGCGGGTCAGGACACTTTGCCATTCCTCGACTTAGTGTGTTACAAATTGATTGACCAAGCGATCTAAAATTATATCTTCATAAAATAAGAAATTTCTTGTCGAGTACAATTCAGCTTTGATATATATATCATACTATGTTTTTATGAACGTCTTTGATATTACATAATTATAATATTTGACTACTGATATTTATAAGGACCATGCTACACAAGCATAATGATTGACATGCGGGATGACCGAACACTCACACCTTGGGGGTCCGGCATTATTTTATTCACGCGGGGTCCACGCTCCATGTAAGGGTCAGTCATCCATTCGGTCATCAAAATTCGGGCACTTCAACATTTTCCTATTTGTAATGACTCATTGTGAGAATATAAATCCAATAAAATTACAAATATGATTTTTATTTTTTTTTAGCACGTGCTCTCGGAAAAATTATGGTTGTCCAAATTAAGAAACAAAGCTAGAATTAAGAATAAAATAAAAATAAGAAATAACAGAAGAAGAAGATTATTATCCATGTTGAAAGTCAAAATGAGTTAACGTGTGCAATATTGCCATGTTTGCATGCGTGCCCCACTTTCTTTGTTATGGTATTCCTTAACGTAAGACAACTGAACAGAGAATAGAATAACCTTTCTTTGCTTGGAATGTACTAACTAACATATTTCAACTTTTGAGGAAAAACCTTTTGTTTTTCCCTTTTTTTTTCAACTTGAATTCCCTATATTGAAAGCTAAATTTAATTATTTTTTTCCCAAGAATTTAAGTTTTTAAACGAGTTGATTCAACATAGTATCATAACAGGCAAAAGTAAATTTTTTAGTCACTATATACGAAAATTTGCATGCATCCAATGCATATTGTATATAGAAAATGAGTTTTATTTTAATAGTTTAATATTCTAGGCGATTCAACGTTGAGACGTAAACCCAATTTGTGATTATTCTAACATCAAATATTTGTCTGTCTACCTGGGATTACTTTTAACCAGGACATCATCAAGAAGGTAAGGACATCTTTGTACAAACACCTAAACTAAATTTAACTTGTAACTCAAGATATTGTGTAAGAATATTCCTGTTCTTCCCATGCATTCCTTTCTTCCTCAATTTATAAATACCACCATATGGACATACATCCCAATCGTACGATAATCTACATTCACAAAATAAGACAGAATTAAACGAAAATGGAAAGTTCAAGTTCGAGTTTGAATAATGGAAAGGTCACGGAGATTGTGTTCTTTGATTTAGAGACTACGGTGCCGAACAGAACTGGACAGAAATTCAGCATATTGGAGTTCGGTGCCATCATAGTTTGTCCTCGGAAACTCGTGGAGCTCGAGAGCTATTGCACGCTCATTAGGCCTCGGGACTTATCTGCTGTCGCGTTGAGGTCTGCCCGATATGATGGAATAACACGCAACACAGTTGCTAATGCGCCGTCATTTGAGGAAGTATCGGACAAGATTTTCAGCATTTTGAATGGTAGAATTTGGGCAGGTCACAACATACGAAGATTTGATTGTGTTCGTATTAAGGAAGCCTTTGCTGAAATTGGTAGGCCTGAACCAGTCCCTGTTGGGATCATTGATTCATTGGGAGTCTTGACTGCCAAATTTGGTAAAAGAGCAGGAAATATGAAGGTTAGTGCATCAAAACCTCGAAA